ACAGAGAGGAGGCATAACACAGCCAGAAAGAAATGTCAATGTTTGTAGTAGCCGTTAAAAGCTTTCTTTAAATGTGGACTGTTAAAAATCCAGTAATCCAGTTTGTGGTCTCAGAAACTTCCCCCACAGCACATGCAAAAAGCAACCCATCAAGTAGAAAAACTGGGCAGTCTTCCCACCCAGGTTCTTTCTTCCTGACCTTTTAGAAATACTACTTGAAATCTGGCTTCAAGTTTGATGTTCCTATGCCTGATGGCAACACTGGCAACCAGGTATGAGATTTATCCCAATTGTCATAACACAGCACTTACCTTGAGAGTGAACTTGGTGTACTAGCAACTGGACTGGCTTAGCTAGCAGGAGACCTGGATTTTAGACTCTACTCTGGCACTAACTGTAAGGTAAGGTCAAATCACTTAGCCCACTATATATCTTCATTTCTTAACCTGGAAACAGTTCTATTTACGGGCAGTTTAAAATAGAGTCATCAGAGTCATATTAATATCTGTAGCCTGTCTTGGTAAAGGTAAAAATGCATTGGACTAATCCATGACAGTTTCCACTACTATGAAACAATTTTGCTTCTCTTCCTTTGAAATATATAATAGTGTGTTAGACCAAGGAATACATATTTGGTCTTCCTCCTGGTTCCTGACAAAGAGCTTCTACAGCCCTTGGAATTTCCTAAGAGATGGGGGGAAAAGGATAATCTTTTGTTATTCATAATAAGCCCCTTTCAGCCATACCAGAGTTCATGCTAATGAGGTATTAGTTACCTCGTTACTGTCTTGGTTAGCCCCTAGATAGCTTCAAAATGGGGGCTGATTACAACATCGTAAATCAACTATACTCCAATATAAAATAAAATTAAAAAAAAAAAGAATAGGGGATGATTGTTAGAAGAACAAACCATGTAATCAAAAGGTGGGAACTTTCAGCCCTACCCCCGCCCTCTGGGAGGGGAGAAGGGCCGAAGACTGAGTTAATCACCAATGGCCAAGGATTTCATCAATCATGCCTATGTAAGGGGAGCTCCATAAACATCCGAAAGGGTGAGGTTTGGAGAGCTTTGGGGTTGGTGAATATATCACAGTGCTGGGGAGACTGCATGGAAGCTGCTCCCACCCATCCCCACAACAATTTGCCCTATGCTTCCCTTCTATCTGGTTGTTCCTGAGTTGTATCCCTTATAATAAACCGGTAATAGTAAGTAAACTCTTTCTGAATTCTGTGAGCTCTTCTAGCAACTTATCAACCCTGAGGGGTGGGACTGTGGGACCTGTGAGCTTATAGCCTGGAGGTCAAAAGCACAGGGCACCCAGATTTGTGATTGATATCTGAAGTGGGGTGGGGAGAGGAGGCATAAGCTTATGGAACTGAGCCCTTTACCTGTGGGATCTGTGCTAACTCTGGGTGGTCACTGTCAACAATTGTATTAAATTACAGGACACCCAGTTGGTGTCTGCATAGCAATGAAGAATTGCTTGGTCTGGAAAACCCCGGCATTTGGTGTCAGAAGTGTTGCAAGTAGAAACAGATCATAGTATAGGCTAAGATAGCTGTGGATACCTTAATGAATTCGTTACACATTAATAGAAGTGCATAAAGATACTATAAGCTAGAAAAAACAGTTCACGTTCAGTTATTTAAATACGAGACGGCAAACCCTCAGGGCCAGATACAGTCCCAAATAAATAATTTGTTTAAGTCATGAACAATAAAAGTTGTACACAACTAAATATTTTCTAGTATACTTACATTATTGCATAAAGCAAGAACCCCTAGAATTATTGTGGGAATGTCTAGAATGTCCACCCTGTTGCTCCTTATCCTGTCTCCTCCTCATGACTCAGTTCATCGGGATGGTCAGACTCTTTTAAAAACATCTTCTTCAGCATCCCAGGATACACTGCCTAAGATCACCATCTTCACAAAAGCACTACCATATCCAAGAAGACTTCTTAATTAGAGCAGCATGGCGAAGGGGAACAAGCCAAAGCATTAGAATCTGATAGACCTAGCCTGGAACAAGCCTCTTGCCACATATGACCCTGGACGAGCTATTTAATTTGTCCGACTTTCAGATTTCTCGGATAAAATAGGAATAATAATAAATACAAAGTTGGGTTTTTGTGGAAATTAGAAATAAGGTATAGATGATGCTTGGCATAGTTCTATGTTCAATAAATGTTAGCTACATATAATATTTATACAATTTGATATTTGCTTATAGACATACATATATAGTTACTCCGTGAGTATTCATTTCTTTCTCCAACTATACTACAAGTTCAATGAGCGCAAAATCTTTGCAGAGCACTGCTTTTGAATGGTTCACAATATAGTAGACCAGTTGGTATATGGTAGTGTAAAATCCATTTTCATACCCCTAGAATCACAGGTACATTAAGAGCTCCCAATATCCCTAAGAGGAAGAAATAAGATTGTTTTGACTGCAAAGAAAACAGTGGCCATCAGACTACCGCTGTGACTGAGGAAGGTCTGGGTGAAGGGTTCCTGAGTGGCTGACCCCTGAAGGGAGCGTGGGTATCCACAGAATGGGAGAATGAAAACCCTGGACGGAGGTCCCAGGCTGAACGGAGCTGTGAAGAGAGTTGGAGGTTTTGGGAAAATGGTGGATTATGGATGGTTAAAGACAGATTTATATGTCCCAGGCTTTTGAGTGAAGTCATGGAAATTGAGAAGCATGAGGAGGTATTAGAGGAGAAGCAGCCCAGAGACCTGAGTTGGGATTTGCTTGGCTCAGAGAAGAGCAACTTTCATGCAGAAGTAAGACCTGGACAGAAGTAACTGAACTTCAGTGTCCAAGAAAAGTACAGGAATGAGCTGTGGCCTGGTACTAGCCCTGAGGGTTTTGAAAAACATATTTTTGTAAGTATGACAATATAATTCTCAAAAAAAGTATATTATTTGAACTTTTTCTGTTTTACATTAAGGACAGGTGATTTTATACCTCTACAAAGCATTTCTGTCAAAAACCTAAATTGAGAAATTCCTAGAGATTATAGGATTGAATTTATACACCATGTTGATGTTTTACCTAAACAATCACAACAACCACGTTTAAACATCCCTAAGATATATGGCAGGAGCTGTCAGACAGAGGAATGACACTTCTTTGATATTAACAGAAAGAACATGGTCGCAGAGGTAGGAGATGTGTAGTTACCAAATTAATTTAATTTTCAATTCAACAAAGCCCCTGAGAGTTAAGGGACCTTTCTTAAGCCTGGATATGAAAGTTATCTTCACATGACAATTGGTTGCTTAAAGCTCAAAAGGAAGAGAATGTGAAGCAATAAACACAGCTCTTTCTGTCTGTATAAACAGGGCTGCCTGTTTCTAAAGTATCTAAAGAGGGACCCCCTTCGCAACAAAAATGTCTTTCGGGACCAGTAGAGCAGCAATGGGGACTGGGCCTATTTTTCCAAGTTCTTTTCTTTTTCTTTTTTTTTAATTTTTTTTGCGGTATGCGGGCCTCTCACTGTTGTGGCCTCTCCCGTTGCGGAGCACAGGCTCCGGACGCGCAGGCTCAGCGGCCATGGCTCACGGGCCCAGCCACTCCGCGGCATGTGGGCTCTTCCCGGACCGGGGCACGAACCCGTGTCCCCTGCATCGGCAGGCGGACTTTCAACCACTGCGCCACCAGGGAAGCCCCCAAGTTCTTTTCTGAGTTCTAATTAGACTTGGAAGACTCCAGAATTAGAATAAGTAAAATAGTAACAATCTCTTGTAAGCTGCCTAAGAGGATACCTACCTGTATATATACCTGCATCTTTAAATTTTACTCCTAAGAGCTTTAAGATATGAAAGGACATCTGGAATATTTATGATGATATCTTAAGGGCTCTTTTATTTAAAAAAAAAAGTTTAAATGTTTTACTCTGAGATTTGTCTTTCTTTCAGCTTTCCATATTTGAGGAGGCAGGCTTATCGTCGGTCCTACAGATCAACCATGGCACCAGTACCAAATGGTAGTAGACATTAGAATTGTCTCAGAAGAAGGCAGAAACCTCATCTCTTGGGAAATGCCTTTTTAAAGCTCAAATCAATGTGAGTGGCAGAGGTATAAATGAACAGGGAAAGGGGACCAAAACTAACTGTAAAAACATTCTACCATTGTACCCATACATTGCATGATGGACATAAAATGCTTACTACATAACTCTCTTGGTATAACCAATTTTTTTTGTTACTTCAGCTCTTATATTACCTTGAACGTGTACCCACACACACTTTTTCTTATGTTTCTCACTTGCTATTCTCCTAAATTTATCCCAACTATTTAGTTAAGGAATCTCTGATCTTCTGCAGTGGGTGAGGAGAGGCACAAAGCTAGCCACACAGTCTCAAAATTTATTGGAGAACCTTCTGCTTAAGGAAAAACCCTATTTAAAATAAATATCCTATTTGTTTTGTTTTGTCTGGGTAGGTAAACATAACTCTTAGAGCTGAAAACACAAGGTTTGTGGAGATTAAATAGACCCTCTTCAAATTTTAGCTGGGGCTTTATGAAGGGACTAAACCTAAGCTTTCTCTATATCTGGTTGTTTACCTTCTTTAAAAAGACCAGGGCAGGCTTCTTCCTGCAACCTAAAAAGGCTAAATTTACTTTGCCTATTTTGTGTATCAGAAAAGTGGCAGAGAAGGATTCAGAGACTTGCTCCGGGTCACACAGACCGTAAAAGACAGAGCCAGACTTTCTGTTCAGTGTTCTTTACCACAATAAACAGACATTTAGATTTTCTTTCTTCTGAAGACTCTTAAGAAGCATCAATGACAATAAGGCCTAATTCATTCTCCCTACCTTAAAGAGGCAACACTCTATTGCCTTTGAAACAGAATGTTCTGTGGCAAAGAACCTGGAAATGGAGGCTTACAGACCCCATGGGGACAGAACAAGGCAGAAAGGTTTCCCTCACACACTTACATATTCAATGCCCTAGACAGAAGGATGCCATCAGTTCAAAGTCACTTACCCAAATCTGAAGCTTGATTCTCTTTTCATTTTTGAATACAGTTTTGACTTTGAAATCAATCCCAACTGTGCTGACGAATGCAGATGTAAAGGAGTCATCCGCGTAACGGAACAGAAAAGATGTTTTCCCCACACTGCTATTGCCAATGATAAGCAATTTGAACATGTAGTCAAAGTTCTGATCAGAGGAGTCTTTCTGGCCGTACCTGGCATCTTGGGCAGAGGCCATCTGTGGTAAAACAAAACAAAACAAAACAAAAGAGGTGTGGATCAGTCTCCCATTTGCTATGAAGCTAGCAGCACACTCATTATTGGTCTTGCCAGAAACAGATGTCAGACCACTCAGGAGACAAGTTGAGAGAGTTCCCCAGCCTTCCTCTGATTCTGGTATCCATGGCAATAATTCCCTGCTGGAAGACAGAAAAGCAAATCTTACGGCTCTTTCCAGCTGTGTTGGTGTGTGTCACTGCTCAGCATTTAGAACGAATCAAAGACACAAAAGGAGATGTAACATGAAAAGCAAAGATATGAGGAGCTGGCCAGGGCATGTGGATTCTGAAAGTTTGTAATTCCAGTGATGGTGACACCAAGGTGGCTGAACAGCAGGGTGTTTCTTCCTGAGTCATCTAAATTATTAGAGTCTCTCTTATTTTCTAGGGAAGCACTCCCAAAGCCTATCTCTATTTCATCTATTTATAGCACTTTAAATCAACATCCTAACATATATGACCAACCTCTTTCAAATAAAAAATAATGATAATGACAAATACATAGGGTTCAAACAACGTGCCAGGAAATGTTAACTTACTTAACCCTCACCACACCCTATAGGTGGGTACCTTTATTATTTACATATTAAAAGGAGACAATTAAGGCTCAGAGATACTAAGTAATTTGCTCAATTTCACATACTTTGTAAGTAGTAGAGGCGGGTTTCAAATCAGGCGGTGTGGTGCCAGGGCTCATGTTCTTAATGCCTCCTACTCCCTGCCCCCCCAGCCCCGGTTCCCAGTGAGAACTAGGGGAATGTGTACACGTGCTCTAAAGTTGAAGTGGGAAATATTCATTGTGAGATTCATTAATGAAGGTCCCTACCTGGGTTCAAACTTTGGCTCCACCACCTACTGGTTTGGAACTTTTGCTTTTTTATTTTAAATCGGTGTAGCTCAGTTTCCTCTCTTCCGTGAAATAGAAAAAATTATTATCCAACTTGAAACACTTGTGAAAATAATAGATGATATATCTGCACAGCAGATATATAAAGCGCCTAGCAAAGAATAGAGAATAATCTCTATTATTAATTATAAATGCTCTAGATGGATTTTTCCTCATCTTTTTTGATGATCATTTTCACATCTATCAAAAATGGTGCAGCATTACTCTAAGTACCATTTGGCTCCATATAGAAAAGAAGCATTTAGAACGGTGAATCCCAGTGATTAGTGCATTTACTGGGTCACCTTTTTGGATGCTATGAATTCTTTGCCAATTGCTGTGCTGCCCAATACAGTAGCCACTAATCACATATGCCTGTTCATATTTAAACTAAGTAAAATTTAAAATTCAGCTCCTCACTCACACTAGCCATATTTCAAGAGCACAAGAGCCGCATGGGGCTTGTGGCTATGACACTGGACAGCGCAGGTTCAGGACACTGTCATAACTGCAGAAAGTTCTATTACTCAGTGCTAGGCTAGACAGTCTTTTTTCATTTCTTATAAAATCTGATTAATAATTACATATTTCTCTTGGAGGTATGGCAAAGAGAAAAGCCCCAGAAGATAGCGGAATGCTAGAAACAGTAGATAGTGCCTAGTCTCATCTAAGACCACATTGGTTGCTGAAATCGGGTGTGTGTGTGTGTGTGTGTGTGTGTGTGTGTGTGTGTGTGTGTGTGTGTAAGACAACTGAGGGAAAAAGAAAAGGGGAGATGGGGTGATAACGTATTCCCTTTCTACAAATACTCACTGCCAGTAGAACACAATAATATGAGCAAGAATGAAGGCAAAAAGAAAATCTGTATATATTATGAAATTTAAGGGCAATAAACATTCTGACTTCTTTTTTTTTTTTTGGTGGTACGCAGTTCTCTCACTGTTGTGACCTCTCCCATTGCAGAGCACAGGCTCCGGACTTGCAGGCTCAGTGGCCATGGCTCACGGGCCCAGCCGCTCCGTGGCATGTGGGATCTTCCCAGACCGGGGCACGAACCCATGTCCCCCTCATCGGCAGGCAGACTCTCAACCACTGCGCCACCAGGGAAGCCCATTTCATTTCTTATTAAATATAAGTTTAAGCATTTCTCTTTTTAAGTCCATGTAACCACATTGCTGTCTTCAGTAAATATGCCTTGTAATGACTGTCTGCCAGTGGGAAAAACTGGGCCAGTAAAACAGGCAGATATCATCATTTTCCTTTCTGGCCCTGGAGTCTGCGTGCTAAGATAAACTTCCCCCAACACAAGCAGCCCACCAAGAACAAAAATAGGATTATAATTCTTGACTCTCAGTTTGAACAATGATGTCTTGCTCTGATGACTTCTGACACCCCAGAAAGCCAGGTAACTATTTCATTTGACACTCCTATTCCTACAGACATAAGCCTTTCACCAATTAAGATTCCCCACTTATGGAGGTGCTAAGTTCAACCAGGCCTGCAAATGACCTTTGTTAAGAAGATCTTTTACCATCTTTTATATGAAGCAGCCCAGATACTACGTTCTGGATTAAGCATGTTCAGTTAAGCCACAGTTAGAAAATAGACTCTACAAGTTTCCTAGAGCTGCTCATTTTCTCAGTCTGACAGCCTACCATTACCCTGAGGTGGGACTCTAACTGAGTCCTGTGGATTTCTAGGCTTCCTTGAAAGAACATGTGATAAAGAAAGCCGCTATCAATCACAAGTGCTAGTCCAAAATTAGACCAACTCCAAAACCTGCAGAAATATAGACATCATCATTGTATGTACTTTTTAAAAGTAATTGTAGAGATATAGATAGAGAAAACCATACTGGAGTTTTCTCCAGCATGAGAAATAGAAGATGTTCAATTTTAAGGACAGATTATACCAGCTGTATTAGCAGCAAAGAAGGTGGTAGGAGCACTGAGGATGATGGGGCATGAGGCTGTTAGATATGTGGATCTAGATTCTCCAAGGGATTAATTAGAAGAGTTTGCTAACCTGCTATTCTTGAAGATGATGTGTGGTTTCTTTAAATTATTTCCTGATTTATATCCCCAAAAGTATTCACAGAGAGCCCCAAAGATGTGTATTCAGAACATATGTGTTTCATAAACTTTAGAATAATGAAATAAATCCTGGCTTAGGGAATGGAGAATTAGACTGCCCGAATCTTGCTGAGAATAGAAATGAAGCAATTTTTATTTACAAAACAGAAATAGAATTACAGATGTAGAAAACAATCTTATGGTTACTGGGGGCGGGGGTAAATTGGGAGATTGGGATTGACATAGACACACTGCTATATATAAAATAGATAACTAATAATGACCTACTGTATAGCACAGGGAACTCTACTCAATACTATGTAATGACCTATATGGGAAAAGAGTCTAAAAGAGTGGATATATGTATATGTATAACTGATTCACTGACCTGTACACCTGAAACTAACACAATATTGTAAATCAATTATACTCCAATCAAAAAAAAAAGATGAAGCAATTTGACAGCATATGAATGTCAAAGGAAAATATAGACAGTCACTATGTAAATTTACTAACAGTTCTAAATACTAAGTCATGTGAATGTCTCCAAAATTTTCATGGGAAAATATGAAAACAGGAGTGGGCATGAAGGAACCTCCAAGAGAGCAAACAGGATTTTATAAAAGATACATAAGAAACTCTTTAAATTGCATTAATCTTGAATAAATTAAAAAAAAAAGAATCATAGAGTGGGAAAGACTATTCAGCGAAGCCCTCCTTCCTACTCATCCCCAAGTGTCCCTCTTGTCATTGGTATTCTAGCCCAGCCCTTCACAGCGAGTGACAGAACGTTTGCTAGGCTGTGAAGCAGCCTATTTCATTGCTGAACAACTGCAATTATTATAAATTTCTTCCTTAGATTTGAGTTAAAATCTACTTCCCTGTAGCTTCTGTTCATGTGCTCCAGATTCTGCCTATGAATCAAAAGAGTGGATTCCTTTCCCAATCACAGCTCCATAAGCTTTCTCTCCTCCTTCCTGGATAATCTCAACTGCTTTAGCCCCTTTCTCCACCCAGGACATGTCCGAAAAATCCCACACGTCTTCTAGGTTAAAGGTGACATCTCTGCAGATGTTAAAGTCCCATGCATGGTTCCCACAATTGGTCACAATATTCCAGATATTTATCTGGTCGTTGCAGAGTGAAATAAGATTCTCATATCCTATCACATCTGACTTCAAAATAAAGTCTCCTCAAATGCTCAGCACTTTTTTCACATTCACTGTTATAAACATAGGTCTCCCCTAACCCCATCCCATGCCTCGGCAATTTATTTTTTTAATGGAAGTGTCAACCTTTATTACGTACTCTATTACATTTCCTTTTGTTTGTTTTGATTTACAATTCCATTCTGTTTTGATAACTTTTTGTCCTTTCATCAAAAATATTAGTTATCCCTTCCAGATTTGTCTCATTCCTAAGTTTGATCAGTATACATTTCATATCCTCACTTAAGATGCTAATCAAAATGCTAATCAGTTTGTAGACAAATCACAATGAAATTTTCTTTTTACCTTGCTGAATACATAAATCTGTGGATGAACTCTACGATATGTCATTAAGGAACTCAGCAAGTTTGAAGCAAATCCTTAACCTCTGGGAGTTGGTGCCTTGCAAAGCCACTGTGCTATCCCTCTAGGTGTGCCTTTGTTCAGTAGCACGTGAACAGATCATAGATTTAATTGATGTGTCATTTTTAATTTCAATTCTAGTCTCCCCAGAAGTCCTACTGACCAGGGATCAAGCAGATTACCTTTGACTAACACACGTAACCATAGCCTTCTTCAGAATTTTTGACATTACCTTTTCCAAATAAATGAGAAAAGCAAATTATTTGCAGGGATTCCCTTGGGTGCTTAAGAATCTAAACTATACTAAGCCATCTGTGCATCTGATGAGAAAAACAAAAAGAAGTCATTTTAAATGTACTATGTTCCATCTAGTATTACTGATAACATCCTGAGGGTCAGCAGGAGGAAGAACGAGGGTTAATTATCCAGAA